GCTCCTGAGCTGCCTTCTTCCTCTCTGGTCTGCCCCCCACCCCCACCTCAAATTCTTAGCGGGTCGGGGAGTGGTGGGGGGAGCAGGGCAGGGGAGGCCAGGCTAGAAAACAAGTCAAAAGCCTCAACACAGTCACACAATGGTCACCGGGTCACCAGCTTCCAATGTGAGCCACTCGGATGCAGCTGGCTGCCGTGGGAGTTCTTCCAGTGGCGTGAGGAGACTGTGGACTCTGGCCCCGGCAGCACCCCAGAGATAAGACGGCAAGGACACCTCAAGACGGCAGTACAGTCTCAGAGCGAAGGAGGCCTGGCTCTGCTGTGACCACTGCCCTCAATCCACCTTCACACATACACACACACACACACACACACCACACCACCCCTACCTCCACTGAGCCCCGCCCCATCCTCACCCTGAATTCTCAGCTACCCTGGACAACTTGAAGGTCGAGGGGGGTCGGTGGGGGCACCTCAGGTGCAAAAAACCAATTGTATGCCTCAGTTCTTGGTACCCTGCCATCATTCACCTATGGATGCCCCACCTGGGGGACTCGACGTCCCACCTCCTTCCCTTCCCACAGGCAGCCACCTTCTCTAGTTTTGCCCTGTGTTTTTATGTCCTTTCATAGTGTTTTCAGAGGAACCCCGGTGGCATGGTGGTTACATGTTGGGCTGCTAACTGCAAGGTCAGCAGTTCGAAACCACCAGCTACTCTGTGGGACTTTCTACTCTCATAAAGAGCTGCCGTCTCAGAAGCACCGGGCAGTTCTACCCTGGCCCCTGGGGTTGCTAGGAGTCAGCATCAACTTGCTAGCAGTGAGTTTCACTGGTTGGGTTCGTTTCCATAGTGTTTTCAGGAGCCCAGGTGGTGCCGAGGGTTAGGTGTTGGGCTGTTAACCACAAGGTCAGTAGTTCAAACCCACCAACTGCTTTTGGGGAGACAGATGAGGCTATAAATCTTGGAAACCCCTAAGAAACAGTTCTCGGGCCTGCAGAGTCCCTGGGAGTTGGGATTGGCTCGATGGCGACAGTGTTCTCAACGCTTGTCCATGACGGTGTCCATTCTTACAAACTCACTGCTAGGGAGCCGCTTCCGCATCATAGTGACCCCACAGAGTAGAGCTGACTCGTAGGGGTTCTTGGGTTGTCTGCCTTGGCACAGGAAGACCACCGCGTCTTCCCTCTGCTGAGTGATTGGTGGGCTTGAACTTCTGACCGTTGGGTTGGCCGCCCGAGCGACGTAATCATTGAGTCCTGAGGACTCTCTTTGTACGGATGGTTTGTGCTTAAATTGCCTTGGAGAATGAGTCCTACTTCTATGATTATTTGGACTTGAGTATTGCCGGAGTAGGTGTCACTGAATTACAGGCGTTTTTCTTGTATCTTGTCATTTTGTCTAATTCTTTTGCTTTTGTCATTTTTCTCTTGATTTTACTGGTTTGTACAAAAATGATCAAATCATTTCTAAATACTGGTAGTTTTGTCTCCTCCACTTAGTGTATCTTATTTTTCTTGTCTTACTACAATGGTCAGGCTCTCCACCACTGTGTTTGTGTCGCTAGTGGGTATCCTCTGCTTGCTCCAGATTTAAGATAATCCTAACAAAGCACCTGAAATCTGTGTGTCTGCCTGACTCTGTCTCACTGTTAAACATGCTATTTCCTGTGGGTTTGGGTAGATAGCCTTTATCAAGTTAAGGAAGGTGCCTGTCATGATTACTCTTAGGAAAATTTCTTTATAACTTTCTTAAAATTTCTTATAGCTTTATCAAAAAATTTTTTGAAGAACAAAATTAAGATAACTAAGTGATTTCCCTTTCCATGATCCCATTAATGTTTCCTAATGCAGAATCATTCTTTCATCCTTAAGCTACACCTTACTGATTATAGCATAGTCTAATTCACTTCATAAGCATATAACCCGTGTCATTGCATTTTCAAATCCACTCATGGCCCTCATAGTCTTTTCTACCATTGTCACTGCTCCTCTACTCCGTTACACCTGTAGTTATTTCTCCTTTTTCATTTGGTGTTTTATTTGCCTCCCTTCCCCTTTTGGCCATGTCGCCAGGAGCTTGTCTATCCTGTCTAGTCTTCTCAAAGAACCAATAGAGGATTCTAGAGAAACGTCCAATGGCCCTATCTCCATGTGAGGCAGGACAACACCGTGAAATGGAGTCAGAAGGACCTGAGTTCAAATCCCTGCCCTGCCACACGCTAGCAGTGGAGCCTTAGACACATCACATCACCCCTCGGGCGCTTACTTCCTGATCTGGAAAATGGGAATCACAATCCTGCCGTGTGAAATAGTTGTGAGGGTCAAGGCAGGAAGGCTGCATAAAGCACTGGGCCAGCCTGCAGCGGCAAGTGTAGAGTGCATGTCGGGTCCTGTCCTCCGTGCCTTTGTGCTGTTCCTTGTGCCTGAAATGCTCCACCCACCCCCATCCCCCGGGCCCTGTTAGGCCACATGCCCCTGTGTGCATCCGAGCCCTGGGGTGGTGCAAACCACTAATGTGTGCGGCTGCTAGCGGCAGAGGTGGTTCGAGCCCACCCGGGGCACTTCAGAAGAAAGACCTGGCGATCTGCCAACAAATCAGCCAGGAGAAACCCTGTGGGGTCAGAGTCGGTGTGACAGCAACTGTACTGGTTTGCCTTGAGCAGGCAAAGACTATGGGGGGCGCTGGGGGGGGGGGGTTCTGCTGCATCTCCTCCTCAGGGTCCAGCTTCCTCAGCACTGACCTAGGCCATCACAGCAGCCTGATCCTATGGGATTGTCCCCGGGACACCTTAAAATAAGCCACGAAATTGTCCAGTGCAGTGCTGGGCACAGGCTAAGACCAGTAAGTGACCTCCTCTGAGCATTCTCCCCCCAGCACTCTGTGTGGCCACAGCCTGCACACTCTGCCTGGTAGACCAGCCCCCAGCCCTGCACTCCTGGACGGGGCCTTCCTCCCCGCTCGTTCTCATGAGGCCAAAGGCTGCCCACACCTGAGATTTCAGCTTCCTTGGGACATTGTTTATATTCGCCACAGGCTGGAAGTAATTGCTCGTGTTCTCTCTCTCTCTCTCTCTCTCTCTCTCTCTCTCTCTCCCCCTTCTCTCTCTCCTTTGAACCCACAGCACGTCACTCATGCATCTGTGAAGGCCTTGATCTGCTTCTCCCTCATGTTGTTACTACTCTGTGCAAACGTTGGATCACTCCAACTGGATTAACCTGTTGAAGTGGGATTGTTGCCTTTAGCTGCCCTTAGATCCTTGTTCGGCCCATGGGGTTCAGATGTTACTTGTGTGCAATTGAGTCTGACACGGAGAGGCTAGGAGGAGCCTTGGGTGGTGGGGTCAGGGTGCCCTGAGAACTAGAAGCCTGAACGTGCTGGAGAGGGTGACGATAATGGTGATGGTGACAGGTGACCACGATGACGATGGAGGGGGGTACATACGGAGCTTAGCCTGTGCCTGGCACGGTGCTAGCACTTCCATGGTTTATTTCACCGTGTCCTTGCAACATTCCTACAGGGTGGGTGCTGCTGTGATGGCCTGGGTCACTGCTGAAGAAGCTGCGCACTGACTGGTCAGTGGTGGAGGTGGCACAGCCGGCCTGACTGGCCTCCCTTCACAGTCCTACCACCCCAGCTCTGCTGGCCAGCACACTGCCCCAGTTGCCATGCCTGGAGGGCCCACTGTGCGCGAGCACACAAAGACACTCATACACACACACATGCTCTTGCATGTGGTGTTCACAAGCATAGTCTCTCGTCCTCACAGCACATGCGTCAAGTACAGGGTCTCCCCGCTTTGCGGACGAGAAGACAGAGGGCCATAGAGCCACCTGCCTAAGGTTACTACCGCAGGGCATCAAACCAGTTCAACGCAGTCCAAGCCCTGGCCGGCGGATGGATACCAGGGCGGCGTATACACTGTGCCGCAGCCAAATCTGTTGCCGGGCGGATTTAGACCCCCTTCCGAGACACGCGGCAGGGCCCTCACTCACCCAAAGCGGTGGCCAGCCGCCTGCTTCCCACGCAGGAGATCAGGTGGCTGCGCAGCGCTGACCTGCCTCCTTGCCACCGGCCACGGCTGAAATGGTTGGAAGCCCTGGGCTACCTACACTGAACAGTAGGGCTACGTTGAAAGCAGCTCTCTCTCTCTGCCCCCCCCGGAGCCCACACCTTCCCCTCTGCATCATGGCACAGTGCCTGGGCCCCCAAGAAGGCCCGGGTGACAAGTGGGGGACGCTTGTGAAGGAAAATGGAGGGAGCCGAGGGCAGGAAGGAGTCCACAGGTAGTAACAGCAGCACGCTCAGTCACCGGCTCGGAGGTGGGAGGTTCCGTTCCACACAAAGGTATCTTGGAAGAACAGCCTGGCCCCCCTTTGAAAGCAGCAGCCCTTTAAAGCCCGGTGTCTCACTGTTCTCTGAGGCCGCTGGAAGGGTGGGATGGCAGGCCTGCCCCCAGGTGGCAGAGGGCCTGGCCTTCCAGGTGGGCAATTGCCTCTGATTGGAGGATGGGATAGGATCGGAGTGGTTGGGGAATTGAGCTGCCCGGCTGGCCCTTGGGGAAGCCCAGGGCTTTTGCACAGTGCAGGGAGATCAGTGCCCAGCCCAGGCCTGCCAAGAATGTGGCGCACGTTCCCATCAGACCGATGACTTGTGTAAACCCTAGGAGGGCCAGTCCTTCCCCTGTGCCTTCACATAGCACCCCCTGCCCCTGCCCCTGCTGGATGCTCCAGGGCGTCAGAGCCAACTTTCCTCGGCCTCCTAAGGCCTCTGACCTGCTTCTGCAGAGCAGCTGGAAAATTCCTAGGGCAAGGGGGGGAGCGGGTTCAGGCAACACCCAGCCTACATCCGGTCAGACTGGCTCCTGGATGGTGCCTGGGGTGGCAGGTTGGCTCCTGGGCTCCAGTTATTGCAGGCTGAGCTGGTCCTCTGGGGCTGGGGGCAGGAGGCAGGGGCTGTCTGTGGGCCTGTGTCACAGTATGTCTCTCCGGTGCCTGGTCCAGGTCATTGCTGTAGTCATGGACCTCTTCACCGACCGCGAAATCTTCCAAGACATCGTCGACGCCGCCTACAAGCGCCGTGTCCCAGTGTACATCATCCTGGATGAGGCTGGCGTGAAGTTTTTCCTGGAGATGTGTCAGGGCCTGGAGCTCACTGACTTCCGGATCCGGGTGTGTCACACACACACACACACACACACACACACACACATACCCCAAAGATACTCCTCTGGCTCCGCTGTCTGCCTCGTCCCCAGTTCAGGGGCTCAGGGGCACTTCAGGGTCACGGCCCCTTTCCTTCTCTGTAAAGCTGTGCCACACAGATGGGTGGCCGCTAAGTCACATGCCCAGCTTCGGTTTTTGTTTCTGCAGAGGGGACTGTTTCACTGACGGGGACAGCACTGGCCCAGACCGAGAGTGCTGGTGACCTCAGTCCACTGGGGTTGTCTCCTGGAGGCCCTTGGGGGCAGGCAGGGTGCCCCGGGCATGCCCGTGCCCAAACTGAGTGGTTGACTCCTTCCCACTCTCCAAACGGGGTTCCCATCAAGCCTTGGGAAGCACAGAGCCAGTGAGGGGGCAGGATGCTGCAGGGAGCATCCGGGGCCCAGTGAGGACCTGGTTCAAACTCGGTGGCTCTGTCCTTCTCCATAGAACATCCGGGTACGCTCTGTGGCGGGCG